GCCAACCTTGTAGAAGACTGCGGGGTTTGCAGGGTATGGTTGTAGCCCTTGGTCTCTTGCCACTTTTCCTAAGTGGTCATACCATGCCTTGGAACCAACTCGTTGTCCAGGTAGGCATCGTCCAAGTTCAAAGAACTCGCCATTGCGCTCCACATAGACCTTCTCCTTGTGGGGAACCATGAGGTAGGCGTCCTTGACATCGACTGCCCATAGTCCAAGTTCTCCTTGGCTTGACTGAACCAATGCTGCCCACAATTTCACTCCAATTGCATTGCTTGTTGGGCTGAACAAATTCTCCATCTCAGGCGAAAGAAACTTGTAGTCTCTGCCAACCAGTCTTGACCGTCTCATCCAGCCAAACTTGCCAGTCTCTTCCTTCAGGCGCCATCTCCAGTCATATAGACTTTCTTAGTCGTCAGGAACCTGTATCCCTCAAAGTTGCCATTCTTGGGAATGAGGAATTACTATTTTCTTGAGCCTTGTGATCTCGCGCTCGTCCGCCTCCAGCTCCAACTGCGCCAACATCTCTTCAGAAACATCTGGAGGTCCAGCTTCTTCAGATTCCTGCTCCAGGTCCACTTCATTGAACTCGCCCCAGTCCTTGAAGTCCACCAAAGGGTATTCGTCCACCTCGACGAACTCTTGCTCATCCAAAGCCACTTCTTGGATGCCACCTGCAAATGAAGGTGCTGCTGCTAAGCTGCTCGCCGTTGGTGAAGAGAATGGGGATGTTCTTGGAGGAACTGCAAATTCCACCTTTGCTTTCTTGACCGGCTCTGTTCGCGCACTCTTCGTGGGAGGTTCTTCTCCAGGAAGTTCACCATGAGGTCGAAGTTCTCCTTGAGGATGTTGAAGTCCACCAGGGTGTTGAGGAACTTGAGGACGTAGTCCGCCTTGAGGGTCATCACGAACTCCTCCTGCATGTTGCGGGTCTGGCTCTGCATCCTTGCTCGAGGATCTTGGCGCTTGACCAGGCAGCCGTAGATTGCTCGTAGGCCACCATCGACTCTAACCTGTGCATACCGAGTGCCAGGCTTCACATTCAGCTGCAAATGCTGTCGCAGCTGCCCAGGACAACAACGCATGACCGTTGCTATCTTCAAATTCATCCAAGGAGCTTCCTGCCAGTCGCTCGTACTCGCCGACCAGCTTCTCGTACTTCATGATCCCTTCAAGGATCTTGCCCCCAGGCATTGATGATTCCAAGCTCTCTTTGCCTTGTCTTGGGCTGGAACTCCCGACAAAGCCCTTGCCAGGCTCGAAAGCCATCAGTGTCGTGACACTCCGGACGATCCGAAGCGGTCGCCCCTTCACAAAGCTGACCAAGTAGGCATACAGCTTCTTTGCTCTCTTCTGTACTTCCTCCTTGTAGTCGTTCAACTTCAGGTCCTGCTCCAAGTCCTTCTCCACGTGCTCCAGGTCGTTCATGAACTCCTCCTCAATGAAGGCCAAGTAGCTCTTGAAGAGGAATGACCATTCAGGCCATGTAGACTGCTCCTCATCGACAGTCCCTGCAAACCATACTTCAGGCTTCAAAAGGCTCCTTGGATCGGCTTTGCTGCCGTCCTTCTCTTTCTCTTTCTCCCCAAGCTTCTGGAGAGTCTCGGCGCAAACTCTTGTGAACCCATGGAGCTCTGCCACCACTTGCTCCATGCCAGCCATGAGGCGTCAGCCTCCTCCACCAGTGACCTTGCCCTTCAGGTAGTCACTTGCACAGATTGCTCTGCCACTAGCTGCGCTGCTGTAAAGCTGCCAGCTGCTCTGCCGCCCAGCTGCGCTGCTGTGAAGCTGCCAGCTGCTTGCTCACCAGCCGCAATGGCTCGTGAGGCTGAGGATCGGGTCCTGTCCTCTCAAGTGGGATTGGGTCCTGTCCCTGGAGCTCCCCTGAGACCAACTGGAATCAGGCTCCTTGCTCCGCTACCATCTAACAAGTCGCTCACTTTTCGCTTGAGCGGTTGACGGCCTGCGGATTGCAGGTTGTGGTTTGTGACCCAACATGTTTTACATGGAGTGTACTGCTGCACTTGGTTTCACTGTGCAACACTTTTACTGCCAGGATTGTGCAATGGAATGCAATGAACACGTTAAGGTTCAGTTAGTTGGTCTGTGACCGTTGGGCAAGGAATATTCTTTTACTGCCAGGATTG